AGTGACAGGCCACTTTTGGGGATGGAGCTTGGGGTTCTGGGCCTGACAATCCTATGCCATTCTGAAGTGGCCATCTAACAAAATCTAGTTGCTGACCAGAGGTATAGGGAGAAAGAGTACATGCGCACTGATGCTAATAGTGTGTCTGAAGGAGCAGCAAATTGTTGCACGCCACCCCAATCTCTGAGTGGTGCGAGATTCTAGGGTACCCAGGGTATGCTTTCCTTTGGAATGTGGGACAGTGGAGATTGCCGTGTCTTTATGTTGTGTGGTTTATTCACACATCTATACAACCCGAGCCTACGATGGAGGGGTTCACAGCATTAACACCCCAAGAGGGTCTTGCTTCTCCCATCTCCACAGACTTAGATTCCAGCAGAAATCAGGCATAGCTCTGTCTCCCAGCTGCTCAGCCAGGCAACTTCTAGCTCACATAACTCAAGACCTAACTCTGGCTTTGTCTTTGTAACTACCAGCGAGTTGAGGGAGGGGAACCCACCCATGTGACTTCTAGCACAGAGCCACTTCCTTTGTTACCTTAAAGGCCCATACTTATAAGTTCATTACCTTACTGGGAAGCTAACTTGGCTATTTCAGAAATGGAATCTGTACTGGATCCAACAATTAGAAGTGGGGTCAGGCCAGATTAGAGGCAGATTTAGGGGAGCACTGGGCGCAGAACCTTGGGGGCACCGTTGAGGACGCAGCAACTATGATTTAGAGTGAAGCACAAGAGGCAGAGAGGTGCTAATTTTTGACGCCACCCAGGGTGCCACTGAAATATGAGAACCCAAAGTCTGCCACTGGCCAGGCATATAGCCCCCCCCTAACTCATAACACTCTGTAATGCAAGTGTAGTTAAGGTATTTGTATGAAATAATGGATTTTAGGAATAATAATAATAATAATTTTATTATTTATACCCAGTCCATCTGGCTGGGTTTCCCCAGCCACTCTGGGCAGCTTAAAGGTAAAGGTAAAGGGACCCCTGACCATTAGGTCCAGTCATGACCGACTCTGGGGTTGCGGCACTCATCTCACTTTACTGGCCGAGGGAGCCAGCGCACAGCTTCCGGGTCATGTGGCCAGCATGACTAAGCCGCTTCTGGCGAACCAGAGCAGCGCACGGAAATGCCGTTTACCTTCCTGCCGGAGCGGTACCTATTTATCTACTTGCACTTGGACGTGCTTTCGAACTGCTAGGTTGGCAGGAGCAGGAACCGAGCAACAGGAGCTCACCCCGTCGGGGGTATTCGAACCACCAACCTTTTGATCAGCAAGTCTTAGGCTCTGTGGTTTAACCCACAGCACCACCCGCGTCCCTCCTGGGCAGCTTACAACATATCTAAAAACATAATAAAAACACCAGTCCTTAAAAATGTCCCTCAACAGGGCTGCCTACAGATGTCTTCTAAAATGTAAGTTTAGGCATCTGTTGTACTAAGTATGTAAATAGAAACAGTGTTTTGTACCTTAGTGTAAATCAGTAATGCTGGCACTGCCCATTCTGGTGGCGGCAGACATGAAGAGGAAGCAGCGTTGATAGGGTGAGGCTGCCTTCCTTCCTTCCTTCTTTCCCCAAAGCAGTAGCTCCCCACCCCGCCTCCAACAGCCACTTCCCTTTTTCTTCCTGTGCAGCCAACATCACCCATCCCTGGCGCTTGCCCTCTGCTGTCTGTTAGGAAGTCAGGGGTACAGACAGGGAGGTGTCATCCAAACAAATGGGTATCTCTTGCTCACAGCACTTTTTCTCTGCTCCTTAACTACCATACAGCTGCTGTGAATGGTCACTATGCTGATCTTGCCTATATTCAAGTTTTTTACACATAATTGTCACAGTCTTCTTGTTTTAACTATAGGACAGAATATAGGAAGCAGCCTTATATCAAGTCCATGTAGGTCCACACCAGAGCTTTCCAAACTTTCCATGTTGTTGACACATTTTTTAGACATCCATTATTTTGCAACACATTAATTCAATTTTACTAGCAAAGCAGAGGTTAAATGAACCCCTTTGCAGCCCTAGGAGAAACGTGGGGAGTGTTCGTGTGACATACCTACACACTGCGGCCGACACACTGTGTCTGTCACGACACACAGTTTGGAAAACTCTAGTCTACACACATGGACTGGCAGTGTCTCTTCATGGTTTAACACAATAATTTTTAATAGCCCTACCTGGAGTGAACCTGGGACCGTTTGCATACAAAGCACACAGTCATTCAGACACTAATATCGCAACTGGGCGCTGGTTATCTTCTCTTGCTACACCCAAGCACACACTCCACCAGTGTTTCCTGGTGGTTAGCTCAGTTCCAGAGTGCTGTAGGGGAGGACACTAGGTTTACTGCATGCAGGGCAAAGGTCTCTCCACACGTAAGCTGTTCATCAAACAAGCTTCACTGCTCTGAGTAAGATAAAATAAATAGCCCCGTTCTTTTGAAAAACAACTCAGGAGTATTCTTCAGTAGTTCCATGAACTGGATACTCTCCCTTCGTTTTGGGGAATACAACCGGGTCTTTATTTGAACCAAGGCTGAGCACTGGAACATGTGGGCTCGGCTCTCTTAAATCTGGTTTTTTCTGTCAAGGTTGCAGCCTACGAACGTGAGAAACAACCTATTAAGGGCAGGGTCTTTAACAATGCGAAGAGGGAGCCTCCTTCACTACGAAGCAACCACAGCCCAGCCATGTGGAGCTAAGGAGCCAAGCTTCCAAGTCAGGCTTCAGACGTCCTGGGGGTGCCTTAAATAGGGCCCCGTTTAAACAAGACGCCAGGCAGGCAAGGATCTATCTCGCACACGCGGAGCCGCCTTCAAAGGCCGCTGCGGCGCAATGTTTGCACGCCATAGCAACGCCTTCCTGGCCTGCGGGTCTGCGGCGTCCCGGCAGCGCCCACGCAGGCGCGTGCAAATCCGCCCCCTGTTCCTCTCGCGGGCCCGGCGTCACGTGTGAACGGGGGCCTGGATCCAGGTGTTCGGCTCCCCGCCCTTGCAGGGAAGTCTCGGGAGCGCGGGAAATGTAGGTCAGGGCGGAGGGATACGCTGCCTCTGGCCGGCCTCCTTAAGCCTCCTGGGTGGCGTGTGCGATTAAGAGGACAAGCTGGAGCCTGCGCCTGCCCCCTCCGGCTGCATTCCGCACCGGCTACGCGGCCTCCGCTCCGCCCCCGGCTCCTGCCCGGCCAGCGCGGAAGCGGGGAATTTCCTGGCACCACTTGCGGAACAGGAAGGCGGAAATGAAAGCAGCGCCGAGCCAAAATAGATCGGGGAGGGGAAGGGAGCGGCGGCAGCGGGGGGGGGGGAGGGGGTTTCGACTCTCTTAAAGGCGCAGAAGTCGCGATCGGATGAAAGGGTTTCCAATGTATATTCAAAACAAAGCCGGTGGGCGGGCGTTCACGAATCCACACGATCCTTTCCCGCCCGCTTCCCCAGACACACTCGTCTTTCTGGTCTAAAGGGGTTCTGCCCCAGGTCAACGCGATTTAGAGGAAAACCCCATCCCCCCCCCGGCTCGCACCCTCTTGCTTCTGAGTAAGCTTGCCTGCCAGTCCCCCGGTTCCGTACCACGCTAGAATTTCCTCCAACGCGTCGAAGATAGCATAGAGCGGGGAGATTGGCGAGGGTAATTTTAGTTGGCTAATCTGAAGTCGCCGCCTTTTGTTGCTGCGTGTACCACTCCTGCTTTTGTGCTCTAAACCGCAGTACGGAATTGAAGCAGGCGAAGCTTTATCTGCCATGCTAGAGAAAGCTTCGCTTGCTTAATTTTTGCCTGGCACGGTTCGGTGATATTAGCAAAGCCAGTTAAAATACGTGACCAACCACAACTTTTTATCAATTTAAAGTGATCGCAAGGGCATGTGTCCTGAGATACTTACCCGAGGGCCTTTCCATCCTTTGTGCAGTGGCACAAATATAAACTAAGCAAACCTTTCCCCGTTTCCCATGACTGACAGCCCCTTCAAATTCTCCTGGGATCCCAGCTCCCTACAACAGGCCCTCCCAGTCTGGATCCCCTCCCAGTCTGGGAGCGCAGCCCCTCTTGCTTGGTATTCCAGCTCTACCACTCCCCCAGACCAGTCAAGCGTCCCCCCTCCTCACAAAGATATGCAGGAGGATTTGTCTGGAAGGCAGAAAGCCTAGAAAAAATGGGGAGGGGGAAGAGAGCGCCTGAATCAACAGCTGCATCCCATTCCCTGGCACTTAGCCAAAGAGCCTTAAAGCAAACGAGAAGAATAATGCTGCAGTCTTTCCCTTGCTGTTTGATTGTTCTTGTTTTATGTAAAAGGTAATACTAGACTTAATAGTGCAAAATCATTCACTTCATTTACTGCTGCCACCTCATTCTAAACTCAAACTCTAGTACAAATCTGACTAGTCACCCACAAAATATGCATTGCATAAAACAATCCTTTGTTATTGTTTTAAATCCTTTGTTGAATCACATTCATTGTATGTGCAAAAATACACATATACAAACAGGTGCAAGCTGCTCAATGCACTTTTTTCAGTTGTTTCCCCCCCCACTTTTTTTCAGCATGGTAAAACTGCTGCAAATAAATCCAAAGATTTTAACATAAAATCAATATTGAGCAAGGTTGCTGCCTCGGACACCTTCAGAATACAGGGCTAGATGTCTGACGAAATGCCTTTACTGTACAGCACTCCTGCTCTGATTACAGCCTACAGTGGGAAGTTACCTAGCAGTACAGAGATATGTGCACAAATGTGTTTCCCAAGAGATGGTTTCTGTGGTACGCTAATTGGCTTCAGTACTTGATTCTAAAAGCAGATGCTTCTTTAATTGGTTTGTAAAAGTTGAGGACGTTGTTATTCTGAATAGGAGTATTTCCTTTTTTAACTGGGCAGAAAACCTGAACAGTACAGGAAGTACAGTCAGAGCACACTGTAGATGCTTGGTTGGCTAAGAACTAAACTACAGCTCAAGTGAAATGCATTACGTATTAACACACTAAGCCAAGTTGGCAATGTAGCCAAAGCATCTCTAATAACCATCACTTTATTAATGCAGCAAAATGAGTACTCCCAAGACATGTGCAAATGGATCTGCATTGCCGGAGAAAATAGTCCTCTCTGTTGAGGGCGTGCACCTCTGCTTTGCAAGAGGAGCTCTGAAGAGAGACAATAACCTTTCACCAAGGAGGAGACATGGGTTGTGGGTTTTGCAGATAGGACATCACTACAGCCGAGATAGACAACCTGGAAAGAAGACAGGAGTTATAATCAGGGCAGGAACGTTAATATTACACTAATAATAGCAATGCAAATAGTAATGTCAACAGAATGAATTACAAATGTGACCAAAGAATCTGAGTGTGTTCAGTGTATTCAAATTAAAAAGCTTATATGGGATGTGTTACTAAGCTTGCTTGGGAACTGTGTATTTCGCTTGGGTTTGAACTTGATTGTGTGTCCTGTGTGTGCATGCCTCAGAGACAATGGAGGATTGGGAAATGAGTCTGATACAAGGGGAACCTCTTTCTGCTGCAGCCGCTAGCCCAATTCCCAAAGAACGAACAGCTAGCCACAGATAGAGCTGGCTCAGAAAATTAGCACCATAGCCATATTAAAGTGAGCTAGCATGTACATTAGGATCCTTGGGATCAGGGATGTGGAGCCCCTAGTCTATCATTATCTGGAGGGCTACAACTTTATAAACATCCCTGACTACTAGCCATGCTGGCTGGGGCTGATGTGGCTTAGAACCCAACATCTGGAGAGCCCCAGCCCCACAGCCCTAGTCTGGCTAGTGAAGCAACACTTCAAGGTTTCTGGGAAGTAAATGACTTAATCAGAAAGAATGGAACTTATTAAGAAAAAGGCAGAATAAACATTTATCTGTGAATACGTTATTCCAAGGTCTGAATGATTAAGGCTACCCCGAAATGAGGTTGAATAGATTAGGAGGAAAAGGAAGAAGTATTGTTACCAATGATTAATATGCTGAGACAAGCAGCAAAAGAGAAATTATCAGTGTGGTAGATTAAATATAAATAGAGAAATTAGCCCAGACTGGATTTGGGCATGGGGAAGATTGGATTAGTGACATCCAGGAGCTGCATCGTGGGTGCATCAAGGTGCCAGGCCACTCATTTCCATCCCCATGGAGGGATCCTCAGGGTGGAGCTTGCCTTGAGCTTTATAATCTTTCAGAGCAATAGTTTCCGGGCAAGAGATGCTGGTTGACGTTTCCACACAAGTGCTGTACCCTTAACTTTCCATGTGCAACTGCATACTGTTTGTGGCAAAGGGAAAGCAGCTGTGTGCCTCTTGTCTCAAAGTAGACTTGGCAGCAGTAAGAAATTAACACAGGACTCAATGAAAGGCTGAAAGAAGTAAAAGAACCTGACTCACATGAAGCTGCTCATCATCTGTTTGGTATCTTCTGAACTCCGAGAGTTGGCAAAGCTGATGAATGAACAGTAGACAGCAATCCAGGCACACCACTTTAGCTGCAAACAGCACAGAGTAATGTAGTGAAAGCTTTAATGAAGTCTCAAGGATTAAGCAATACTATTTATTCCTTAGTAAAAGTGTAAAACCATGATAAGCACTCTGCTTTGTTTCTTTACTCAATTCACAGGAAACTTTCTTACGGTGAGTCAGACTATTGCTCCATCTAGCTCAGTATTGTCTACAATGATTGACAATGGCTCTCCAGGGTTTCAGGTAGGGGACACTCCAATCCTTACCTCAGGGATGCCAGGGATGGAACTTGGGAGCAAAGTAGAAGTTCTGTTACTGAGCTTATGACCCTTGCCCTTGTGGAGTTGTCTTCAGTTTTAAAGATGGATACATTTGCTAGATGAAGCTCATTCAAAGTAAATGGACACGCAAATAATAAAATATATTTGATTTCCAGGGAACTATGAAAGTCATATTAACGAATTCAGACCTCTCAAATGATAGCAAATTGCCCATGGGCATTTCAAATATCTAGAGCAGTGTTTCCCAACCTTTTTTGGGCAAAGGCACACTTGTTTCATGAAAAAATCTCGAGGCACACCACCATTAGAAAATGTTAAAAAATTTAACTCTGTGCCTATATTGACTACCATATTTTTCGCCCCATAGGACGCACCGCCCCATAAGACGCACCTAATTTTTTGGGGGGAGAATAAAGAAAAAAAAAATTTTCCCCTCCCCAGGCATGGGGCAGGCGCGGGGGAAACCCAAGCTTCCCCGACCCCAGCCCCCAGAACAGCCTGATATCCGCAAGCCTAGGGAGCCACACTGGTCTCCCCAGGCTTGCGGAGAGGTGCGTGAAGCCCGGGGGCGCTCTTCAGCGCGCACCAGGCTTCGGGATGCAGGCAGCTCTGCACTACCCTCCAGAGCCCCGTGCGGCTTCGCGCTGGGATCCGGGGGGTGGCGCGGAGCTGCAAGAAGCCCTGGAGCCAGGCAGCTTCGCACCACCCTCCGCAGCCCCGCGCGGCTTCGCGCTGGGATGGGGGGGGGGTGGCGCGGAGCTGCAAGAAGCCCTGGAGCGCAGGCAGCTCTGTGCCACCCTCCGCAGCCCCGCGCGGCTTCGCACCGGGATCCGGGGGTGGCGCGGAGCTGCAAGAAGCCCTGGAGCGCGGGCAGCTCCGCGCCACCCTCCGCAGCCTCCTACGGAGGGCGCCCCGTGCTCCGCGCTGCTGGCTGCCGCCCGCAAGCGGGGGGGGGGGAGTTCCCCTGGGCGCGCAAGGCTTGCGGACAGCTGCGCGAAGAACGGGGCGTCCTCCGAAGGACGCCCCGCGCTCCGCGCTGCAGGCTGCCGCCGCAAGCCTTGCGCGCCGGGGGGGGAGTTCCCCCAGGTGCCCAAGGCTTGCGGACAGCTGCGCGAAGCACGGGGCGTCCTCCAAAGGGCGCCCTGCGCTCCGCGCTGCAGGCTGCCGCCCGCAAGCCTTGCGCGCCGGGGGGGGAGTTCCCCCAGGCGCCCAAGGCTTGCGGACAGCTGCGCGAAGCACGGGGCGTCCTCCAAAGGGCGCCCCGCGCTCCGCGCTGCAGGCTGCCGCCCGCAAGCCTTGCGCGCCGGGGGGGGAGTTCCCCCAGGCGCCCAAGGCTTGCGGACAGCTGCGCGAAGCACGGGGCGTCTTCCAAAGGGCGCCCCGCGCTCCGCGCTGCAGGCTGCCGCCCGCAAGCCTTGCGCGCCGGGGGGGGAGTTCCCCCAGGCGCCCAAGGCTTGCAGACAGCTGCGCGAAGCACGGGGCATCCTCCAAAGGGCGCCCCGCGCTCCGCGCTGCAGGTTCCCGCCCCCCGCCCCGCTTCGGAGCACCGGGAGAAGCGATCTCCCCGCAGCCCCTTGCTTCAAAAGAGGTCCGGGGGCAGCGCGAAGCGCTTCCCGCTGTCCCCGGACCTCTTTTGAAGCAAGGGGCGGTGGGGAGAAGCGATCTCGGGCGCCGCCCCGCCCCGCCTCTCCCGCCTCCCTCCCACGGCACACCAGGCAAGGTCTCACGGCACACTGGTGTGCCGCGGAACACCGGTTGGGAAACACTGATCTAGAGTGTTCACCTATATAATATAACCTCAAAACTAACTATGAAAAAGCCAGCTTTTGTAATTTTGTGTCAGAACAGCCAATGTTAGTTGTGAATTGGAACTGTGCAAAATACAAGAAAGATCAAGAATAAAAGAGTTGGAAAGTCCCTTTAGTTCAGGGATAAGTAACCTTTTTCAGCCATGGGCTGTTCCACCATCCCTCAGACCATGTGGTGGGCTGGACTATATTTTGAAAACAACAACACAAAAATGAAAGAATTCCTATGCCCCACAAATAACCCAGAGATGCATTTTAAATAAAAGCACACATTCTACTCATGTAAAAACATGCTGATTCCTGGACCGTCCATGGGCTGGATTGAGAAGACGACAGGGCCGCATCCGGCCTACCCCTGCTTTAGTTCAATGTTTTGTTAGTAAACACAATCAAATGGAAATTTAACTCATTTACTGGCCATTTTTAAGGTTCAAAGACACAGATATTACCATACAGATCTCAATATATTGTTACAGTGTAAGTCTTTCTGTATTTTTTTCATTAAATGCTATCATTCGTAAAAGTCTTAATGAAAAATAAAATGCTCTTTAAATTAATATAATATGTATATACATTGTCATAAGATTTCATCCTTTTCTGGATGAACTATAAGCATGTTAATATTAGCATAGATTTGACATATCATATACTTAAATGGATGCTGTAATTTGGAGCTTATGGTTTAAAAAGTGATGGATATGGTTGAATCACATTGTAATTGTTATAATTATTACAATTGTATTATTGTAATACTTATTACAATTATTAACTAATGCCATTGTTCAATCACTTGATATCATTTCAGACTCCTACTACAATTGACAGGTGTTATTACCTCTCTTATCTAGAAGAAAAGTGAAGCACTCTGACTCAGAGATCTTTATATTAGACTCCATAGCTAACATGAATTGAAGCATCATGAAATCATTATTTACTCTCAACATTCAACTGATTGATCAGCCTTTGGGGCACAATAAATGTTCATCATCTGTGCACTATTCTCTTATCTGACTATTGCGAATAATTGTTTAGCAGTTGGGTAGCATTCCTTGGAGAAACTAAAATAGCAGGGAAATAGGGAAGGTTTAAGCACAGGAATATTATGCAGTTAATCCGACAGAAAGAAGGAAAAGAGGCTGTGTCATTAACTACTAGAATAAGATCTGTTAGGCACATTAAACTAACCTGGGGTTGTTGATGACAGATTACCTTCCAGAGATTATATGATTTTCAAAATTATACAATCCAACAGCAGTGTAATAATTACAAGATAACAAGCAGCTGGTAGAATCTTGTGCTTAATTTGCTCAGCTAGTGTTCTGCATGTCCTGAAGTCAAAAGGCCAAGCATTGCAATACTCACCTTCAGCATCAAGCCACACATACTGAAAATCATTCCCAGTAGATTCATGTAGTCTGGTGTGGGGTCTTCCAGGGTAGGGTTATTCTCTGTGGATGGAGGTTTGTATCTATAAAGTAAAAATTCCCATTATGGTGGAAAGAAAACATTTTAAATTATGCTTGAAAATAAAACATTTGCTTTATCCACCACATCAAAATAAGGAGTAAGACATCAATGGGAGTTTCTCTGCTGCTAATAAGGCTTTGTGCAGCTTCAAGCCAATATGCCTAAAGTTGTTTAGGTGTGGGGAACCTTTAGTCCTCCACATGTTGCTGAAGTACAGCTCCTATCAGCTCCAGCAAACATGGCCAATGGCCAGGGATAAAGGGAGTCATATTTAAGTAACATCTGGAGGCCAGACATTTTCTGAACCTGCTCTAGTGTCTGTGGAAAAAGAAATGGTGCCAGTCTCCAAAATTGTTCTCTCACAGTTCAGGAAAAACATCTCTCCTAAAGGTTACTCAGTCACATCTTTCTGGATTTTCCAAGCACTCATATTACATGAATTTGTTGTGAAAATTATATATTGTACTTCTTCTGTATGTTGCAAGGATGAGTGCTTTCTATATACCCATGAAAACATTAGTGACCAGCAACACAAGCTGCTAATACTATTTTGTAAACTTTTAAAAACTTTGTTTTATAAAAAAAAGGTGTAACTGCCCTGTGTTTCTGGCATGTTCATGTGTCCCTTTTAAAAAAAGTGATGGATATGTGATGGGGAAGTTTTCTAGCTAAATGACAGCACACGCCAGTCCACACTATTCTCTTTGAACCAGGACTTGCAGTTGGGGCACATTTTGATCATCACCAGTCAACCACCACTAGCCATCTCTGTCCCTGAGTCTCCCTCTGCTGCAGTTCCCCCCATGAAAAGTTTCCCCTATTGCCCAGTCTGGTGGCTATTAGGAAAGGCCGCCTCTCTCTCTCGCCCTCCGCCTTGCGTTGCCATGGCGACCCCATGCCCGTCCCGCGCTATAGCGAGGGGTGACGTCTCAGCGCCCCCTTCCGCATCACACGCCACTCCCTCGGCTCAATCTTTCCGTGCCAAAGGTCGCCCAACTCGCGCCCTCTCCGTGGCTTTGCCCGGGCAGCTCACCCGCCCCCTCCCCGGCTCCGGCCCCCCGTCGCTGACCTGAGAACGCGATTTGGCCGCCGCGGGTCCATTACGTTGTTACCGGCCATCGTGCACCGCCTTTGGCTAACTCCGAGCGGCGCCCCCCCCCCGGTCGCCGCCGCCACACCAACTTCCGCTTCCTTTCAGTGGCGCAAGGGGGACAACTAAGAGTGTAACACCTGAGAGTTCAAGCCTTCTCGTTCCGGCCATCATTCCCGAGGCCGCGGTACTGAAGAGGCTTTAGCGGATTAATCTTCTGTGGGGAGATGCTATGGGTTGTTCAACTGAGGGAAGGAATAGAGAACCTTCGGGGTTTTTTTTTCCTGCCAGGGTGGGGAAATCCATGCTGCGAATGGGCGGAACTAAAGATGAGGTAGCTGTGCACCAAGGGGAGCGAATTGGAGGGCTGCGCCGTGTCCCTCATTCAATCTTCCTCCTTCCCATAATAAAATCTGGTTTTCAATTAGCAGTTAAACGTTTGGGGGAAGCTATAAGAGGTGCTAAGTCGTTTTTCAGTCATGTTGAGTATCCTTCCGAATGGGAAGTCTGCGCATGTTTGATTCCTGGCTGGGGTCTGAAGGGACATGGCTGAAACGAAGCAGGTTTGGGTCTGAAAGGCGGCATATAAATTTAAGAAAATAAGTAAATCAAGCTATATAGGCAAGGCACTGTAAAGGATAATACAGCATTTCTCAAAAATGGCTACCATAGGAGGAGAGTTAGATTGAGAAGAGCATCAGGGAGTAGTAGAGAGAGTTGTCTGGTGGTTCTCTGCAAGTTTAAAGAACTGTATATGTGCTACAGGGTCTGCTATGTAAAGGTAACATTTAACTGGTTTGGAAAGAGACGGATTTCTAGAAGGTTGATAGAAACTTGTAAAATAAGATAAGCAAGGCTACATGACATAGGTGATTTGCCTTTGCCAATTTTCCTTTCTGGAGAAAAAAATGGTCTTTACCATTGTGAGGAAACTGGTAGCTTGAGTAGCTGTTGCAGCTGGGACCTGATTTCTCCCTATGCCTGTGTCGTTTTGTAATAGGGTGGTATTCCAAATGGAAGAAAAATCCCAGACGCAGGGCAATCCTAACACATCACATCAATTCACTTTGGGGTTTTTGTAGTACTTGAGAATTTGCTGTCAAGTTACAGCTGTTGCATCCAGTGTAGAAGAATCCCCATATAGCACGCCTGCTTGTCTTCATCATGGCCTTTCCAGAGCCAAAACTGAAGAAGCCTGAGTTGCCAGAGAAACTTCTGGGCACACTGGAATGTAAACAGGGAGCTGTCAGGGCAGTGAGGTTCAATGGTGAGTATATCCTTGATCTTATAACATGGTGTTGAATTTTTAGAACCAGAGAAACAAAGCAGAGTCTAGTGTGTGATTTACAATTTTTAGAGGTGAAGTTGTGGTAGCCTGTTGCAGTTAAACCAGCAAGGAGTCATGTGACGCCTTAGTTAATGCAGGTGTGGGGATGCTGTGACCTTCTGGATGTTCCTGGACTACAACTCCCATCATCCCTGATTGTTGGCTGGGGCTGGTGGGAGTTGGAATTCTGTAACAGCTGGAGGGTCACAGCTTCTCTTTTGCCTTAAAGAACAACAAATTTTATTATGGTATAAGTCTTTGAAAACAACATTCATCAGATGCATGAAGTGCAATCCTCAGTTACCTGGTACATATACATAGAAAAGTGCAAAGGGGGAAACCCAATTGAATAGCAATGCAATGTATAAAGTATTAGGGCACTATTCAACTAAGGGTTTGTGCTAGTGCAAGGATTAACACTAGCACAGTGGGGTTTTCCCTTCTTCTACACTGTATGCCCTGTGCCATCCCCAAATCCGCTCTGGAGGGTTGGGGTGGGGGGAAACCCAGAACAGATTTAGAGTGGGGGATGGGGAGAAGGGAGAGACAGAATGTTCCATTGCTCAAGAGGAAATCCTTGCACTGATGGAACATTCAGCTTAGTGCTATGTTGAATATGATCCTTAGTTCATATTCAAGCTAAAGAAAATAATGATTGGGGGAAGGTGTCTATACCGTGGTTATAGGTTTCTTGCTCAGGGAGAAAATTTGTGACTGCAGCAGGAATAGTGGAACCTGTGTAGCACATGCAGAAAATAGGAAAGGGAAATCTGTCAGGAACACTGCTGAAGAGTGTTTCATTGTATATTGTTCAATGAGTTTTTCCTCTCCCCCCCCCCCCCGCAGTGGATGGAAATTATTGTCTCACCTGTGGCAGTGACAAATCACTTAAGCTCTGGAACCCCCTCAAAGGCACTCTCCTTAAGACTTACAGTGGCCATGGCTATGAGGTTCTGGATGCAGCAGGGTAAGAACTGGGGAGAGGGAGCCACTCTTTTGGAAAAAGAGATTTTGTGGTGAAATACCACCAGTAATTTTGAGATGGTATGCCCTTTTAAAATGTGGCTCTTTTTTGGGGGGGGTTATTGGGTTGTTGTTTTTATTTTGATTATATATATTGTGGTTTTATATTTTGACTTTGTTCTGTGAACCACCCTAAGACCTCCAGGTATAGGGTAGTACAGTAGTACCTTGGTTTGCATACATTTTGGATTACAAACACGTCAAACCCAGAACTGCATGTCCCGGTTTGCAACCTTTTTTTGGATTACAACCCATTTCTTTTGGATTATGAACAATTTTTTTTTTTGGAGGCCCCATTGGCGAAAGCTTGCCTTAGGTTACAACCAGTTTTGGTTTACAAACGGACCTCTGGAACTGATTATGGTTGTAAACCAAGGTACCACTGTATATAAAATCAATCAATCAATAATAAAAAAAACTGGCTGGAAAGCAGGTGGGTCACTGGTCAGAACTTTTGTGGTCTATGCCTCGTCTACTTTTCTACTGGAGTTGTGAGCAGGGCAAAGTAGAGTTTTAAAAATTGCTTGGTAAACAAATTAAATCCTCTGACCTGCCTGTGTTGCATAAATTTAACTTTTAATGTTATACAATAGAGCTGGAAAACAAATTATTTATAAAATTCATGATCAAAAGAAAAAGATGGATGAATAAAATTTTTACATTCCAGAAAGAAAGAAAAATCAATTTCTCCATGAAGCTATCAGTTGTATATTAAACCAATTTAAATGAATTGTCTTAATTTGCAAAACTTGAACTTGCTAGCTGTTGGGAGAAAACCTGTGAATAGCATAGTAATACTGTCCCACTACCCAGCCAGTGATAATAGGATATCCTATTCAGTCCCTGCTCCATACATTTGAACCCATCTTTAATGTCCTAAGGTTTGAAACTTAGCTTTTGAAAAATTATATCTGACATTCTTAATACAGTAAGAATACAGTAATTCAGGGAGTTGCACATACAGGAAGCAATAAGGATGCTTCCCCCATCATTATCTGTCTCCATCCACTCTGCAGATCATTTGATAACAGCCAGCTTTGTTCATGTGGTGCGGACAAGACAGTAGTGTTGTGGGATGTTGCCACAGGTCAAGTGATTCGCAAGTTCCGTGGCCATGCAGGGGTAAGACCTCTTCTGTCCTTTGTCGCTTCCAAGAAAATGGAACAGAGTAACTTCCCTGGGTCAGACTAATCTAGTCTAGCATCCTTTTCGCCACAGTGACCAATCTCAAATCTCACAAGCTGGGTATGAGAGCTTTTGTTTCTCAGTGGCCGGTACTCAAAATCGTGCTGCCTCTGATTTTGGAAGACAGTAATGTATAGCTATCATGACTAGTAGCCATTGATAGCTTTATCCTCCATTACTTTGTTCAATTCCCTTTCTAAGCCATTTATGTTGGTTGTCATTGCCACATCTTGTGGCAGCGAATTCCATAGTTTAACTATGTGCTGTGTTAAGAAATCCTTCCTTTTGACTGTCCTGAATCTTCCACTAGTTTCATTGGATCACCCCAGGTTATAATGCTATATGACAGGGAGAAAAGGTCTGTGTCCACTTTTTCTGTACCCTGTATAATTTTATATACTTCTATAATGTCTGTGCATCCTACTTATTCACCCTTTTTTCCTAAACTAAAAAGCACCAAATACTGCAATCTTTCTGCATAGGCGAGTTTCTTCACCCACCTGATCCATTTTGCTTGCCCTTTTCTGCACATGATTCAAATATCCAGCTTTATGCACATAAGAAGGTGAATTCTTTTGAGCTTCCACTGGAGGATGACGGTAGAAATGTGTCCTGCCTCACAGTGACTGGATAATGTCTGCAGTTTTGTCTATTTGGCATCTAAAAACCTGTGCGGTAGAAAATACTATTGACACATTAGATAATGCAGTAGGAGGAAGTTTATGAGAAGTGTCAAAATATTGCATGCTGGCTACAAAACTACATTGGATGTTTGGCTTGTGGGGTGGAAATAGTAATGAAGAGAGAGCTCTGTAGAAGTTCAAAGAGTTCAAAGAGTTGAGGTACTTTGTGTAGAAATGTGGCAGGAATGGGAACAGAGAATGTAATCCTTCTATGCTTGAATCTGTTAAACCAGTCGGACAATAGTCATTGCTTATCTCATTCTCTTCTCTCTATCCTCACCTGGCAGAAAGTAAACTGTGTCCAGTTCAATGAAGAGGCAACTGTGATCCTTTCAGGTAAGGAATACTTTCCTTCTCACTCTGCTTCACTGTTAATCCCAGAGAACTCATTTTAGGCTTTACTCAGTATACACGCGGGTGGCGCTGTGGGTAAAACCTCAGCGCCTAGGACTTGCCGATCGCATGGTCGGCGGTTTGAATCCCCGCGGCGGGGTGCGCTCCCGTTGCTCGGTCCCAGCGCCTGCCAACCTAGCAGTTCGAAAGCACCCCCGGGTGCAAGTAGATAAATAGGGACTGCTTACTGGCGGGAAGGTAAACGGCGTTCCGTGTGCTGCGCTGGCTCGCGAGATGCAGCTTGTCACGCTGGCCACGTGACCCGGAAGTGTCTGCGGACAGCGCTGGCTCCCGGCCTATAGAGTGAGATGAGCACACAACCCTAGAGTCTGTCAAGACTGACCCGTACGGGCAGGGGTATCTTTACCTTTACCTTACAGTATACATCTTTGCTCTCTTGCAGGTGCTATTGACTCCAGTGTCCGCTGCTGGGATTGCCGGTCACGCAGACCAGATCCCATCCAAATCCTGGATGAGGCCAAGGATGGCATTTCCAGTCTGAAGGTGTCAGACCATGAAATCCTTACAGGGTAAGGAAAGGTGGAGTGAAGTTAGAGCTGGAGAGGGCAAATTCCCTGCCAAGCGAAGTCCATGCTGGACCTTGGGATCTGTTAAGGGCTTCCCGACCCATCCAGGTGTGTTTCACCCCTCTACTCATCTGCAATGGATGGAAGGAAGCAGACTCAGGAAGCCCTATGGCCGTAATCACATTCCAAAATACAGTGTATGGCCACTGACATTGTTTTGTTATTTATAATTATTAGGGCTTGCCGATCGCATGGTCGGCGGTTCGAATCCCTGCGGCGGGGTGAGCTCCCGTCGTTCGGTCCCAGCTCCTGCCCACCTAGCAGTTCGAAAGCACCCTTAAGTGCAAGTAGATAAATAGGTACCGCTTTATAGCGGGAAGGTAAATGGCGTTCCGTGTGCTGCGCTGGTGCCAGTTCACCAGAGCAGCTTTGTCACGCTGGCCACGTGACCCGGAAGTGTCTGCGGACAGCGCTGGCTCCCGGCCTCTAGAGTGAGATGAGCGCACAACCCTAGAGTCTGTCAAGACTGGCCCATACGGGCAGGGGTACCTTTACCTTAATTGTTATAAATATAAAACTTTTTAACATTATATTCTATGCTGTTCTTATAAAGCTGGTGTTTTGCATTACCAGCATTTGACAATACTTGTCTGACCAATTGATCAGATTCTTTTTGGACTAATAAAAAGCCCAATCCTAAAGTCACACAGCTGTGTAGATCCATACTGTGTAGTATCCTCTCATTTCTAAACTTTCATCAGAAACGAAGAAATATTTTCAGTTTTTGCTCCAAAAGGGAGAAAGTTAGTTTCAAAAGAATGCAGGTGTATAGGGAATCCTGTCCCACAACTTGAGTTCCATGGTTTGAAAACCAGGAATGTTGAAAGGGCACCCTTTGAGACCTCAGGGTCGTCTGCCAATGTGCCTGCTGAGTGCCACCCTCCTGCTGCCAGCTAATTTCCACTGCCCCTTTTTTATTTTTCAGTTCTGTGGATGGGCGTGTCCGTCGCTATGACCTCCGTGCTGGGGAGCTCTACTCAGATTACATTGGAAGTGAGTGTTGCTTACAGACTTATTGACAATTTGGTATGATGAGAGACAATTTTCAGGGTGATGGTTCCTGTTGCATTTCCTTTGCCTCCCTCATCTGTATTCCTCTGCCTCTTCTCTTTAGCAGATGCCCCTCAGGTCCAAACCAAAGGGACCTGCCACATCTTGTATCATGTCCGACACTGACTCATTCTAGGCAGTGGGTAGACTTGATCTCTGCAAGCTACTATTCCTTCCTTCCTTCCTGAAGAAGCTCCTAAGAACAAGTTCTGATGGGGATTGCCCAGAATCTTGCACTTTTTTGTTTCTTGATGCAATCAAACCCAACACTACCATATTTTCATTATAGGTCCCATCACCTGCGTGTGTTTCAGCAAAGATGGGCAATGTACCCTGGCTGCTAGCTTGGATTCTACTCTGCGTTTGCTGGACAAGGATACGGGTGAACTACTAGGAGAGTAAGCAATGCAGTTATTTAGTCCTGTCATTAAAGCTTGCCCTACCCCACCCTGTTGTCGACAGACAATAGCAGCTCTAAAGAGTGGCTGTTCTTCAGCATTTGGGTGCAGCCAATCCAGTGTTTAAGTGTATGAGTGTTTCCATGTAAAAGAACCTAGAGGACTAGAGAAATTTGTGCAATACAGATCTTTATACATTGAATCAGAGCCACAGTCAGTCTGCCTTGAACTCTGCTGATGCTGGGCTTTTGTTATCCTCCATCTGCCTTGTCAGGGACTAGTAACAACCATAGGTGGACTTATGGGGGAAAGCCTGACTGAGAATAGCAGAAATATTCTACTCTTTCTCATCCCATTTCCTCCCCCAATGACACCCCTAGATATACAGGCCACAAGAATGTAACCTATAAGATGGACTGCTGCATGAGCGAGAGGGACACTCATGTCGGGAGCTGCTCTGAGGATGGGAAGGTGTACTTCTGGGACCTGGTGGAGGTGAGCAGAATGACCTGGGGAAATGGAGAGATTTTTTCTTGGGCTGTCCTGTGACTTACCAGTGCTTCATGGGAGTTGAGCCACAGATACTGTGTGTGTGTGTGTGTGTGTGTGTGTGTGCGGGGGTGCAGTTTGGGGGGCTTGAATTCCGTTTGGTTGGATAAGGCAGCATTTAATCTTGGACAACAAAGCATGAAACCTTCTCTCCAAATTGTTGGTGGTCAGCAGAGACTTTAACTCAGTGCCTTAACTGCTGACAGTAATCGTAGCTTTTTTTGTATGACCTAGTTGCCTGAATATGACCACTAAGAACATAGGCAGAGAAATTAATACATAGCATTTTCCAATCTATGTGTTAAACGAACAGTTAAAGCAGTGGTTTTCAGCCAGTGTGCCGTGGCACCCTGGGGTGCTTTGAATGATGGTCAGGGGTGCCGTGGGCAACAGTGGCCTCTGTCCCTCTTTCTTTCCTTCCCTCCCTCCCTCTGGTGCCCTCTTGCATCTCTGCCTTCCAAAGGCTTGCAGAGTTATTTATTGCAGCGGCCCTGGCTACAAGCTCCCTAGGTGAATGGTGCCTCTGGGGCAGGTCAGGGAGGATCAAGGGGGCCGCTCAGAGACCAGGGGAAGCAGCTGCGGCTGCCCAGAGGACTCCCAAGGAGAGTGAATTGGAAAGGAGGCTGAGGGAACACTCCACAAGGGTGTTTGAAAAAGGGTGAAAAGCTGCCAGCTTGGCAGGCAAGGGGTGACATAACTGGGCTCCTGAGCCCCACAGAGGTGCCACAGAAAGAATGTAGTTGGTCAAGGGAGCCATGGACTCAAAAAGATTGAAAATATCTGAGTTAAAGTGTTACGTAGACCAGTATCACTTATCTGAAGTTTAAGGGAGGAAGCGCTTTTGATACAACTGTATTGGTTCTAAGCTAAATGCAAGATTTTAAATCTCTGGTGTAAATAACATTTGCTTCCTCATGACCACTGAGGATCAGGTAGAGTTTGCATGCTTTCCACTGCAAGGCATTTCTTCTCTTTCCTCTCTTGAACTTGGACTGTCTCTTTCCCATATTGATCATTCAGCACAAGAGGTGGTGCTTGAAAAGCAGATGCAATTCTGAACTCCAGCCCATGTCTAGCTGCCCAAGTGTTAGGAGTACATGTTATCTCCACCCTTATCTTCATTATTCTTCTCTCTCCTCTTCACAGGGGTCCCTTGCCCTGAGCTTGCCTGTGAGCAAGACTGCAGTTCAGTCTCTGTCCTTCCACCCAACTGAGTCTTGCTTGCTCACTGCTGCAGAGGGCCGTGTGCAGTTTTGGAGGGAGGAGTCATACGTGGCCGAGGAAGGGGAACCAGCCTGATGGTCCCTGTCCTGGCTTGAGTGGAGGACCGAAGCTGCAAGGAGATGGAACTTTCAGCCATACTTCTCTTCAGAAGCACAGTACTGTTTCCACTGCCTTCGGGAGGGTGTGCAACACTGGACTCCCCTGCTCTTTGGAATCACACTTTGCAACTGGTGCTTGTAACACTTAATTACAGTCTCTCAGTTCCATACCAGTTTCCAGAGGGATGGTCATGTTAGTCTCTCTTCCTCAACCATCAGCAGGTTTCTGTTTTATAAGTACTCTCATCTTTCAACATTAATACCAGAGTTGATTGTTCTCCTTCCCCGCCCCCCAAAAGACTGTATTGTTTTACTGAAAACTAAGTAAAATTAAGTTGTTTTTCAGAATGGTCATTTGCCTAAGGCCACTTAGAAGAAGAAGAAGAAGAAGAAGAAGAGTTTGGATTTGATATCCCGCCTTTCACTCCCCTTCAGGAGTCTCAAAGCGGCTAACATTCTCCTTTCCCTTCCTCTCCCACAACAAACACTCTGTGAGGTGAGTGGGGCTGAGAGACTTCAAAGAAGTGTGACTGGCCCAAGGTCACCCAGCAGCTGCATGTGGAGGAGCGGAGACGTGAACCCGGTTCCCCAGATTACACTGGCTCTCTTAGTGGGCTTCATGGCCTTGCGGGTAGGGATCTAAGCCCGGGTTGCTCACATTCAGCCCCATAATAGAAGTCACTGCTCTACATTGGCTCTTGTGTACTTCAGCATAAATACTATATAAGGAGGCCAGACTGGAATGCAGTAGTCACCAGTCACACAACTGGACAGCTCAGTGCACTGCATCACACCACATCCTGGTAGGAGCCTCCTGGCGCAAGTTTAGCCACATTGTTCAAACCGGCTTTACCGGTCTGGGAAACAAAAATTGCCTGTAGCTGTGTTGATGTCTAATATCAATGAGAAAAACATAAAGCATGCTGGGACACAAGAGTAGGCCTAAGTGCCAAACAGAGACATTTTAAAGAGCTTACTACAAACAGCAGGCAGATCTAGTGGTTGGAGCCCTGCTTGACACACTGTTGCTCTAAGAGTGCTTAGGTGTCTAGGAGTTAGGCAGCACTTCCTTCCCCTTTCCTGATGTTTCCTTACCTGATAATTTTTGTGTTTCATGTGATCAACAGCTATTTACTTTCACAAAACGCCCAAACTGCACAACATGTAAGGAGATCACCTAAGAGGTACATGGTGGAGTAGTGACCAGATATTTCTGAAGTCACAGCTCTATTGTTTTACAGTGGTACCGCTAGTTATGAACTTAATTCATTCTGGAGGTCCGTTCTTAACCTGAAACTGTTCTTAACTAAAGGCGTGCTTTCGCTAATGGGGCCTCTTGCTGCCACAGCGCCGCCGGTACACGATTTCCGTTCTCATCCTGGGGCAAAGTTCTCAACTCGAGGTAACTCTTCCACATTAGCGGAGTTTGTAACCTGAGGCTTTTGTAACTCAACGTACCACTGTATTGTGTTTGCTTCCCTGCTTTAATAGGTATTTTATTGTATTGGGGTATTTTTAAATAGCTATTACCCAGCCAAGTCAGAAATGGAAACAAACTGAAGGCAAGAGCTGCTTCCCATAACAACTGTATTATAATTACTACTTGCATTCTGAAAACTAGATTCTTTATCAAATCCTACAACTTTTCCTGCTGCCTTGGGATGAGGGAAACTCAGGCCTGTGTGTGTGTGTGTGTGTGTGTGCGCAAACCGTTGACTTTTGCGCTGCTGGAATGTAGCCTGTTGTATAAAGATAAGCAGGCTTTTTAAAAAATGCTGCTTGCATGAGAAACAAAACAAGGCACCATCACTCCTGATCAGCCATCTTTAATTTAAAGCTGTAAACATGGATCAGAACTGGGTCACTAGAGGGTGCTTTTAACCTGATGGGAAACTCCGCCCTCCCTTGTTCCTGTAACTCTTTTCCCTTGAGCTGACATTCCTCAGGCTCGGAGCTGTGCCTCTAGGATAATATCCTTTCACCTAAAGGGCCAGCTAGTTCTCTTCATTGACCATGCCACTCAGGGGTGCTGCTCTCCTTAAGGCTGAGTGTGGCAGTGACAGCTCAAGTGGACGAGGAGTATGTGTACATGCGCATACGCACAAGAGAAATGGGACTGAGCAGCTGACAGGGTTTGGACATGTAGAGGTCCACTAATTTAGGAGCATGACTCTTGGTTACAAGCTACCTGGGACAAGTAAAGGCTGAACCTCCATCCCTAACCTCACAGCTCCAAAGAGCAGACAAAACAAAAACCTAACAACTCAGTGGGCACTGGGAACCTGGGGGCAGGTTGTCTGATACTTGGCACTTGTGTTTGCAAGTGTGGATCACACACTGAGCTTCCAGACTTCTACAGAGACGCCACCAGAGGCAGCGACGGCCATGTTTCCTTCAACACTGATCTGAAAAAGAGGAGAAAGGAAAGGGTGGGTGGAGGAGGAAATCCAAGTACAGTGAGCAAAAGTCACAGAAGCCAAAACACCCCCCCACAGCACATAACCCCACATAACAAAGACAGCTATGGATGCTTTCTCCCACAATCTCCCCTGCTCCCTTTCTCAGGTCGGGGCCAATATAAAAAGTCTGTAACTAGGTTGACGAGCACCTCCACAATCCTTACCCCATTTAGCACACAGCTGTGTGTGTGTGAACAGATGACCTTGGGCGGATCTGTGGGAACATGGATCTGGAAGAGAAATCCAAGAGGTTACGGTGTAGAAGCTTAAAATCTAATGAAATGGAAAGTTGCGTTTCAGTACCACACAAACAATGGCTAAGTAGAGAAAATAGTGTATGGGACAGAGCAGATTGGTTCAGAGTCACAAGGGTGTTGTACCAAGGCAACTATTTGGTAAGAAAACCTCCAAAAGAATGACCTGTGTGACTGAGAAAGACCATGAGTGCACTGTGAAGCAACTGGTCTGCAATCAGGGACATGGAAACCTGGTATGAAAACAGCTTTGTGCGGGCTCTGGCCTTCCTTTATCATGGCTATGCCAAGCTATTAATTCTCCCTCAGCTGGTGGGAGACTCCAAGGGGTTTGGCTGCTTTAGCTAGGAAGACTCATCTTTCATGCTCTGTCTTTCAGCCTGAAAAAGGGCAGGTTTTGCTTTGCCCCCACAGGTGAAGGATGGGATTGGGAAGCCCTGTCTCCTAGGCCTGTCTGTGGTTCAGACCTGTAACTTAAACACTACCACAATTCTTACACGCAGTGTCTTGTCAGTGGAAGTTGTGTAAAGTGCACCCAGTGAATGTTGGATTCCTGTGATCTGAGAGCGGTGACCCACATCGAAATACTGTGGAACAAAACAAAAACAGAGTGATGCTTTGAATGAGACAAATGCTAGTATGCTGCTGCTGCTTATTTTACAACTGGTTAGGCACTAGCAGTTCGAAAGCACCTCAAAGTGCAAGTAGATAAATAGGTACCGCTCCTGCGGGAAGGTAAACGGCGTTTCCGTGCGCTGCTCTGGTTCGCCAGAAGCGGCTTAGTCATGCTGGCCACATGACCTGGAAGCTGTACGCCGGCTCCCTTGGCCAATAAAGCGAGATGAGCACCGCAACCCCAGAGTCGGACACGACTGGACCTAATGGTCAGGGGCCCCTTTACCTTTAGGCACTAGTGATTTCTATACTATCAGCAAAACATGCTTATTTGGGTTCAGAAGCGACACTGGCAGAAGAAAAATGGCTCCAAATGGTCAAAGCTCATGAGATTTCTAAGGTGAATCCCGGCAGTGTTATAAATATCTCTACAATCTACTGTAAAGCAACACCTTATGCTAGGCTATGCTTTGCAAAGCACAAGTAATTTCGTGGGTGGAGATTAGAGAAGTACCATATTTCTCCGCGATTCAACTTCTCAGCGTACCCGGATGTGCTGGAAACACCCTCCTTTGTTTTCAAAGACATACAGCTGCCCATTGTTGTCTCCAGCCCATAGCTGAGCACCATGGTATGACATGGTGAGGAGGTAAGAGTCCAGCTAGGGAAAGAATAGAACTAATGTCACTGGCATTAATCAAGGTATTGTACTAAAGTAAAGCAGATAGCTCAACTAAGTGAAATAGATTGTGTATGCTAAAGTAGAAAACAAAAAGGTGCCCCAAGTTACTTGCCAATATAAAATATGGGGCGAAATTCTTGAACCTAAATAAGGAAAATTAGCAGAACTGAGGCTAGGTTCAAACATAGTGCAAAACTATGGTTTGTGCTAACCATGAGCTTCCACATGAACAAGCAAACCATGGTTTAGAGCTGCTTTTCTGCCTTTAGTTTCCCATCTGGCTCAGCATTAAGCTTCAAAAGTTCACCCTTGAGTATTCGCTTGAGGTAGAGCTACTCCCATTTTCATGGTACAGCAGCCTCATCAGGCAAAACAATGACCCCGACAAACTACTCTGTGAATTCAGTCAGCACAGAGCTTCTGTCTGTGCTTTCAAAGCCTGGTTTGCCAGTCCCAAACAAACTGGGAGCAAGCTCATAATGCGAAACCATGGCTCAGCTAAAGCAACTGTGGTTTCATGTAATGCCTGAATGCAGCCTGACGGTAAAGCAAAAACCGCCCTCTGGAATGTCTCCCACATGGCCTTGCCGTATAAACTTAGGAGAGTTGAGGTCAGGCAAGAGCAATGCCAAGTTAAAGAATACTTGGGCGAGGCCAGATCAAGGTCCCACTAAACTCAAGTCTTGGAATGTGTAGCTTCCTGAGCCATATAGCCGAGTTTTATTGAGCACAAGAACATACCTAATCTGAACACAAGTAAAAGCCTGGGATTTGGTTTGTAGTCCCAGACCTTCAACTAATACAGAAATAACTAGCACTCAAGCCCACAGGATTAAGGATTCTCCTGACAAACTCTGGAGAGAACACCCACAGATCCTGGTTTTCTAAGTTGCTTTCTAAGGAATTCTTGGCCATCCTCAGCACAAAAAGGAGAGTCAAAGTCTGTAGCTCACCTGTAGCCTCTGGAGGACACTGTTGGCCCTCCTGTCAAAACACACCAGTGTTCGGTCCTCACTGCCAGAGAGAATGAAGCGCTCATCAGCTGCAAGTGATAGGACTGCACTGGAATGAAGCTTGCGGCTCTTCACTGGGGCTAGTGCAGCTGTGAGAGAGGACCAAGAGATGCATTAACAGAGCCCAGGCACTTACCTAAGTTCTCACAAAAGAAATGCCTCATTCAGCAAGCACCTCACAGATATTCTCTCTCTCTTGTAGGCCATAGTTTCCAGCTGAAGTCACTTTCATTGGGCAATAACTAAGTAGCAGAGCTTCTGGGTGCTCTCTAGCCAGCTCTTCCCTACTCCTGGCAAATATTGGGGCAGGAGGCAAAGCTAACCA